GGCGTCCAATTTGATGCCACGCGACCAGCGACCAATCGTGGCCGTCGAGAACATCACTTCTGTATTAAAATTCATCAGTGCTACCGCATCGGCCGCGGCGACCAGACGTGTAGCTAGCTACAGAGTGATTATTTTACAATGGCCAATTTCGACACGGAAAGGTTCATAATTGAAGTTGAAAATAGAAGAGGTTTATGGGATTTAGCATCAAATGATTACTCCAATAAAGATGTTAAGCGGCAGTTGTGGCTTGAAGTGGTCGATATATTTGGCGGTGAATCCATGGAAGATAAAGAAAAGGCAGAACTTGGTTAGTATTTTATTTTATTATGCCTAAGTAAATTAATAATGCGATGAACTACAATAAACGCAGCAGGTGCTGTAGTAGCATTCGACACGTATATGTGACATGAGTGATTTTTTTTAAAGTTGTTCCGTTCATTCAAAATCTAAGAAATTTTAGCAAATAGGTAATTGTCAAAAGTATAACTATTTTATTTCTACTATTTTTCGCTTTGCACATGAGTTTTGACAATTATTTGCTAAAATTTCCCAGGTTTTCGTAATGATTGGAATAACTTTTAAAAAGATTACTCATACCGCATGTGCGTTCGACGCCATTTTGTTTACGGCGCGCAATGGCGGCTCGCGGCGAGCACCCATATATTTACAAATTGTGCCAGGGCAAGCGACCATCGGTACTGAAGTAGTTTGCGAATATATCTCGATATTCGGTTGATGTTCTATTTGCTCTATTAGGTAAACATGCAGGTATTTCTAATAAAGCCTCTGGTACAGTTAACGTGTCCTTGAAATCATATCCGTCTCTTTCTCGCACAAAATTATGAAGCACACATAGAGCTTTTATAATCACAACTGCAAATTCTTTCTTGACGTTTAGGGGTCGGTGAAGAATCTGCCATTTATTGGCTAATATTCCAAATGTACATTCAATATAGCGGCGGGCACGGGATAGTCGATAATTAAAATTAGTCTTTACATTATTCAAGTTTCTCCCAGCATACGGTCGCATCATATGTTCCGATAGTGAAAACGCCTCATCACCCACTAAAACGAACGGCATTGATTGGCCATTTTCTTTGATGGGGTTATTGCTCGGAATATCGAGATCATTATTTAAAAGCCTATGATAAAATACAGAGTCTTTGTAAATTGACGAATCACTGCATTTGCCGTATGCTCCAATATCTAAGTAAAGAAATTTATAATTTACATCACATATTGCAAGTAACACGATTGAAAAATAATTCTTGTAATTGTAATAAAGAGATCCCGAATGTTGTGGTTTGATAACTCTAATGTGCTTGCCGTCGATGGCTCCGATGCAATTAGGAAATTGGGCGTATTTTTGAAAACCTTCAGCCGTTTGAATCCACTTATCTCTGGTCAATTGTGGCATCACAATTGGTTTTAATATCTCCCATATTGCTTCACAAACATCAAATACTATTTCCGATACTGTAGGAAGCCCTATACGGTATTCATGACTTATATGAGATAAAGAACACCCAGTAGCCAAATACCTGAAAATAAAATTCACATTAATAAACATAATATTAGTTTTGTAATATGTACTACATTTATTTATTGATTTACAGGCATTACTCTCCAAAAAAGATGGAAAAACCTTAGAGACTGTTTCACAAGAGAGCTGCGCCGTCTTAAAGATGTCAAAAGTGGTTCTGCTGCAAAACGTAAATCACAATACACCTATTTCAACCAATTACTGTTTTTGAAATCAGTGCTGGACACAAACGCAACAGAAAATAGTCTCGAAGAGGCAAGTCAAGAAAATGAAAGTGCAAGATCTTCTGATCTTGAGACTCAACAGTCTGCATCAAAGTCGCTTAGAACAAAAAGGAAGAAAAAAATACCAAACGAAGAATCCGATACAGACCCTCTAATTTCAGTTCTGCATAAGACCATAGCGACTACACAGAATGATTCAAATTGTGACAGACTGTTTCTTTTATCCCTCCTCGAAAGATTTCAAACAATCCCTGCTGCAATGAAGACCAAAGCGAAAATGGAAATCATGGAAATTATAGAAAAATACCAACCGAACTGTACACCTACAAATCGACCGAGTTATTCAGGTTATTCTACTACCAACAGGATATCAGATGATTCAAATTACAGCGATACTCATACTCATTATTCTGATATTTCTCAAAATTCAGAAATGATAGACCTATTTCCCAATTTGAATGATTAATTGTTCACAATTGCCATTTTTTAAGTTATGAAAATACAAATAATTTGATTATCTACTTCAGTTTTTTAATATTTAAAAACATGTTATAAGCAAGCCCTTTTCCTCTCCTTTTCAAAGTCGTAAAGTAGAATACTACTGAACAATAGTTCATAAATTTTTTAAAGTGGCAAAACCTTGGTCAATGAATTATACAGGTTGTTGTGAAAAACGCAACAGTGGTGGTTTAGGGTGATTCAGAATCAAGTCTTGTATAATTCAAATTTACAAAAAAATCCGTTTAGCAGTTTAAGTAAAAAAAAGGCCCTATCACATTATTTTTATTTTTCCTGTACACAATACTCCATTCCGAAACATCCTTTAAAATATATCACGTATTTTTTAAACATTCTGTATTTAAAAAAGAAAAAGCTTACCTTATTGTTATTACTAATTTTTCTTCTGCTGGAATGCATTTCCGATAGTTGTTACCAGTTCCAGTAATTTTTGGTTTTATTGTATCCAGTAACAGGTTAAAAGTATTCGTTGACATTCTCATGTAATTAAAGAATCTCTTCTCATACATTTTTAAATCCAAAAAATAAGTATAATATAATCCTTTAGTCTTTCTCTCGCAAAGTAATGGATGCACCCAAAACTGTCTTTTACGTGAAATCTTCCGTTTTCGTTTTCGTAGTAAATACACAAGCACAGTTAGCGTGATTATCTTCTGCACGTCCATCTTGACACATCCTTGGAAGTCGACTGCAAATTTTTCGGCCGTCCACATGTCGCGCTTGCCTACGCACCGGCGACCATGGCCGCGGCGGCCTGGCCGCGTCTATGGTCGCCAGTGCGTAGGCAGCCTTTATGTTAAATTGTCTGTATAAGAGTAAAACACACACTATTATTAGTGATAATTGTGTGTGTTATCTTAGCTAGGTCTTAGATCATCATCAGTCGTGCTATTTATTTCTGAAGGTCGTTTGTATGGCGCCGCTTCCTCCGCTCTCGCATATCTGCAGCAAGTCCCTACTTCGAATTTAGGTTTTACTGGATCGGTCCAGCGAATAGTTGAGCATTGTGCAGTTTAACTAGCGGCCATATTCTGCCATTTGTTACAACATTTAATAAACTTGCTGGCTAATTATCAGTCGGTTGTAAAAGAAAGACTAACTTCTTCTATGGTGAATTAATATGGAAAGAGCGTACCAATTCTTATAATGGGCGGCTGGGCGGTATCACTTAACATCAGGTAAACTCTTTTGTACCGTGTTATAAAAAATCCTTAATCTAGATTTCAGCAGACTAAATTAGAACAGTAAAAAAAAGTTTTTAATTGAACTCGCAAACTACGTTCTTCCTGTGAATTTTCAGAGTTATAATTAAGTTCTAACTTAAATATTAACTGGCAACCTTAACTTAGCAAGTTGCAATGACAGTATCAGTGTTTGTGACGCCATTGTTTCCAAGTGTTTCAACATTCTCACTTGCTAACTGTTCCAGATTTTCAATAACTTTTAACTTAGTTAATATTATCCCAAGGTTAATTTAATCTTAAGTTCTATGTATAACTCAGTTACTTAGTTTGTTGCAACTTCGTAGTTATTATTTACGCTGCTATTTTAATCAAGTTTGCGCTCCGAATTATATCAAGAAAAGAGCGTACCAATTCTTAAAAGACCGGCAGCGCGCTTGCGAGTCTTCTGGCAGTGCGAGTGTCCATGGGTGGCGGTATCACTTAACATCAAGTGAGCCTCTGCCCGTTTGCCTCCTTCCTCCAAAAAACTTGTTGCTTAACAGTCTACAATAGGCAAATGGACAGGCTCATCTTAAATTAAACCGCCGCCCATGGACACTCAGATGGCCAGACGTCTCGTAAGCCAACCTTTTAAGAATTGGTACACTCTTGTGGACCAACTATAAAATGGATCTGGTAGTTCCTTCAGGTAGTGAAGCTAGATACAAGATATAACTCAACTACGCGTTAACCGGTGGCGCTACAACCGTTGGTCTGGGCCTCAGATTTCTGTATCTGTTTCGTCATCATTATTTTTCTAATAGGTAGGAGATCAGCCATTACTGCCTGATTCGCCGTCGTCTTTTCGGGTTTAAGGCATGCTGGTTACTTCCATACCTTCACCATTCGTGGAAGAGAATTATCACTAAATAAATTCAAAGCCCTCGTTAAACGTAAATTAATCAATAAAGCTTTTTATAAATTTGACTTATATTTAAATTATCATTATCCTTGGGATTGATTTGCTCCAGTTTGTTTGACTCAAAACTTAGCGATTAAAAATAGTGGCGGAAAGTTTCTTGCCAGTTCTTCTTGCCCGCTCTACGCACTACTACATTAATTTAAGTTTTTTTCTGACGTTCATAAGTGTACTTGTTTACCTATATGAATAAAGTTATTTTGAGTTTGAGTTTGAAGTGTTAAATGCGCATGTATACAGAAAAGTCAAGTGGTACACAGTTGGAGTGCGAACCTACGACCTCAGATATGAGAGCCTCACGCTCTAGATACACCACCACACAGACACACAGGCACACAGGCCAACACTGCTCAAATCGATTAATTCATTATACACGAAATAGTAGAAAGGAAGCTTTTTAATTCTGGACACGTACTGTTCTTATAAACATAATTGTGTAACATTTTTAAATAAACATCAAAAGGTGAAAAGAGATCGTCTTTACCCTAAAATGTTTTCTAGATTTTTAAAGAATGTGATAATATTAATCGGACAATGCTAGTGCGTGTTATTGGCTAGAAAGAGACAAAATGATGTCACAGCACCTGTCAAGCATGTTCGAGCAACTCGGTAACTTCACCAAGAACAACTTGAACAGCAAGTTAAAAGAGAAAGAGAAGACCAGCGTGAATCACGTCAACCAGTCTCCGCATAAGACGCCCCCCGCGCCCTTGAAGAAGCCCTGCAAATTGCGCAACGTTTCTTCTAAGGCAGAATCCTATGATTCTATGTATGGAAATAGTCAGCTGGTAAGTGGTAGCGTAAGATTAGTTTCCCCCCTCCTTATTTATAAATAATATATCTGTCTCTTTTCATGACAATAAACATATTTTGACAGACAGAGACCAAAGAATACTTTAGTTAAAAGACTGCAAGATTGATTTTATAAATGAGGGGGGGGGGGCTTTGAACAAATTAGTTCATTGATAATTATATTAGTGTTATTGTTATATTACCATTTATTACGAGTTTACAGCAAATTGTAATTCCACTTTTCATACTACATAATAATATTTACAAAATAATGAATATACCTCAATTTTAATTCAAAAAAGGAATAAAACACTTCAGAGTTTTTTTCAAATGAAAGTAGCAAATCCTTTGATATAAAAATTTCCCTCCTGAAATGCAGCAGGGGGGAGAAATGCCAAAAGCTTAACAAAACTACGAGCAACGTAGTTCGTACGCAGTCTAATTTATTGTTCTAACGTGTTAATTATGCGAAGCACCAGTTAATAGCACACTTGTTGACGTATTAACTCAATAAAGGTACTGACACAGTAGCGATGATAAGCGACTGCTTTTTAATGTTTTTTCTGTCGATGTTTATTATTTTCAGACTATGTGAGTACTTGCTATTTTAAAATAAATCAATGGCGCTAGAAATTTTTTAGGTCTGGGCCTCATTTCTGTATCTGTTTCATGATCATATCAGGTAGGTGATCAGCCTTCTGTCCCTGACGCACGCCCTCGACTTTTTGGGTAAGGCAAGCCGGTTTCCTCACGATGTTTTCCTTCACCGTTCGAGCGAATGTTAAATACGCACATAGAAAAAAGTCCATTGGTGCATAGCCGGGGATCGAACCTACGACCTCAGGGATGAGAGTCGCACGCTGAAGCCACTAGGCCAACTTAGTATACAATATATTTAATTCTATTAACGAGGCTTAGAGCACATGTCATACTGAAAATTGCCGACATCGAATGGTAATGCCTTATGCCGGCAATTTCGTGTTATTAGTGATTATCAAAATTGTTCGACTTACAAGGTATCACGGCGATTGTTGATTGTTGGGCGATTCATAATAATTAATTTTCTGTACTGATAAAAGTACAGATAAACTTAAGACAATGGTTTGGTCAAAGCACCAAGTCATTGTTTAGAAGCGCGGCTTCAAAAATGAATATGCCATGATGATCGCCAGCCTTCGCAAGGAGATGGCACTATAAGAAAAAGAAGACGGATATAAGACAAGTTTTTAAATTACAAAGTGTCGAAACCCATGTTAACATTCTCTAATACGGGTAAGATTTAAAGTCGAGACTAAACGCTAAGTGTGACTTAAAAACTTTGGAGTAGACATAGTTCGCGCTTAAGTCTCCATCTTCCTAAGGCTGAGATTCATAGACGTTATTGTAAGGCGGTCGAAGTCCGGGTTTACGAGACACAGTCAAGCCAAGTTTACATAATCGTATTCAGAAATATTGTTCTTGTCAAACTTCGCCACGTTTGGTTTCTATTGTTTTTGGTTTCAGTGATTTTTTTAATAATCTGTGAAGCCAGAAAAAATTATGGAAAAACATTTTCGCGTCATCATTTGAGAGTGTAGCTGTAAGGAAGAAATAATTTCTGGTTGTAAAGTTGTTTCAAACCATTTTTATAGAAGTGAGATTTTTTTTAACTTATTAACGTATAAATTAATTGGGCGAAGTGAAGTATTACATATTGTAATTGCATTTTAAATAAAAGGAAAAATATTTTCAGGATACAACTGAACTTTAATTAAGAATTTAAATTCACAAAATATTACATATTGAAATTGACGTGGAAGGAATAAATCTACTTTTTATTCCTTCCATACAAATTTAAGAAGGAGTAAATAGTATATATTTAAATAATCAAAGTATGTACCATTACTATCTATGCACTTTTGCCATCTTATAGGTTCATTGGTCCCTTTACTAAAAAGACATTAGGACGGGAATCAATTAACTCTCTGAAGGCGGTTCCTTCGAAACAATCCGAGTTGAGTTTTTACCTTGCAAGAAGTTATCCAAATTTCGAAAAAATGGTTATCTGTTGGAGGTCCGGTGGTTTTTTTCTGAACTTTCTTAGTATTTTTATTAGTCTCATCTCTTGATAGTAAATGCTGACTTAACAGAAACTAATATCAGTGTCAGCTAGATAGGGTACAGGGCTGTATCATAACAATATGAATCATCTTTATATACACTATTAGATATGATTATCTGTATTTATAATAACAAAATTGTCCGATTGGTGGAGCCAGATTCGCAGATTACTTTCGTTAATGACCAATTGCCATCACTCACGTAAACTTAGACCAAGTTAGACTTCAACCGTCTCTGAATACAAATATTATATAACCAAAAAGACTTTGATAAGAGATATAAGATTCAAATTGATAAGAGATTCAACACAGAAACAAAAACCATATCCCCCGTTGTCGTCAAGTGCATACGTTTTTTGAATACTAAATCTTTATTATTCAACCGATAAATCTATGATTTGTGATTCCGAGAAATAAAATCGGAATATCATAAATACAATATTTTTGCTTGATTTTGAACAGACTTTGCCTTAAAAAAAAAAAATATAAGATACTGGCATCATTATTCCACGTTATTAAGTTTGAATCGGTAGACACCCCTACTCATCGGCAAAGAAGACAGAGGGTGTAGGCCGAGGAAAAAGCAGGCGTACAAAACTCTCGGTACTCTTTTAAAATATCAAATCATCATACAAAATGACTATAGCAAACATAGGTAGAAGAAACCAGAAGGGGGAAATACGGTCCGCTCTTTATTTGTATTAAATTACAAAACTGAACGGAAACCTCGCCGTTTAACCCTTGGGACATTCTCTCTCGACAATTTTGTATCGCGTTGTTCGACTTAATTAATTATTTATTCATGCCTTTAGCATATGATACCATAATAGATTAAATAAGAAGAAAAAGGCATTGTCTGTTATCAGTTTCACAAACAACTACCCTCACGTACTGAACCGTGACCTGATCAGCCGATTGGGTATCTATAAGTTTATCATAATTTACGAGTTGGGAATACTTCTGACGGTCCAGGATACAATGAGCTTGGTGCATAAAGTTTTATGGCATTCTAGCATTGAATAATAAAAAAGTATTTTATTTAATTTGAATTTCGAATGTCAACGTTAAAATGTCGTTTAATAACGGAAGTAGGATTAATAGTTGCGTCAGTGTTCTAAATTTAAATTCATTTTTATTATTCAAGTACTTTGAGAGTACCCATTTAGTTTAGGTTAATAAGCAATAGCTTTAGAATGATGAGGATTGAATTGAAATTTAAAGTTATTCAAAATATGATAGTATATTTATTGATATTAATCAAATATATTTTTTATTCATATATAGTCACTTTTTACAGTTTCTGCTATTTGGACTTGATATACCATCCATCAAACGACAAATAACAAATTTTGACGATGTGAACAAAGCTCTGTCTTCGATTGTCCATTGGTTTAGTATGAATAACCTTCTACTTAATGCAAAAAAGACAAAATGCATTAAATTTTGTGCAAAAAATGCAAGGGTTATGGATACTAGACCAATTATAAGCGGTGAGGAATTGAATCCGGATGATACAACTGTATTTCTCGGAATCACCATGGATTCAAAACTTCAGTGGTCCCCTCATATTAACAGATTGGCGAAGAGACTTAGTTCTGCAGCCTACGCGGTTAAAAAATTCGCTCACTAACTGATGTCGATACAGCTAGACTTGTTTATTTTAGTTACTTTCATAGCTTAATGACTTATGGCTTATTATTATGGGGTCATGCTGCTGATGTCGAAACTATTTTCATCCTGCAGAAGAGGGCTATTCGTGCAATCTATAATTTAAAATGTAGGGAATCTCTTAGAGATAAATTCAAGGAAATTAATATACTTACCTTTCCCTCGCAATATATTTATGAAAATATTATGTATGTATACAAAAATAGTGATAAGTTTACTAGAATAGAACATACGCACAATGTTAATACACGGAACAAACGCAGGCTGCAATTTCCCCGTACTAGACTATCTAAAGTTAGTAATTCTTTTTTGGGAAAGGGATACTCTTCTTTAATAAAATCCCAGAGGCTCTTTTATCTCTGCCTTTCAATAAATTTAAGAAATGTATTAAAGAAAAGCTGTGTAAAAAGGCTTACTATAAAGTCAACGATTATCTAGTTGATAAAAGGGCCTGGGACTAGTGCTAGACAGGCTACTTCTAATTAATTTGCGATATTTGTTTTAAATAAGTGTTGTTTGATGATTTGCTGTTTTAAAAGAGTACCGAGAGTTTTTTACGCCGGCTTTTTCTCTCGGCCTACACCCTCTGTCTTCTTTGCCGATGAGTAGGGATGCCTAAAAGTTCAAATTTAATGATGTGGAATAAGTGATACATGTATCTTATGTTCCATAATAAACATATTTTATATTTTTTATTTTTTTTTATTTTATCCGTTAAAGAAGTTTAATTTTAACGGGGTTTTTAGGTCAAGAACGTTATGAATTAACTATTTACTGTATCGTCTCTTTCAATTATGTTTACGCTGTGATAAAAAGAGACAAGTGAGTTTAATTTAACGATGCAGAGATTTATTTTTTAACACTTCGTTGCAAGTATACAGTACAATTAAAATAATTAAATAAAATGGAAGGCAGCCTATTCACTTTATTTAAAGGAAGAAGAATACTTTATTTAATACAAATTTTCATAACGAGATTTGTGATACGATTGAATTTGACATTGACATTTGACATTTCTCGAAACGTTTTGCAATACGAAGATAAAACCAATCTAGCTGTATAAAGTCTATTGAGTATTCATTCACACATTCCTATAGAACCAATTTCTATAAGCTTGTCGTAAAAGATTCCGTTTTAACACTTCGAACTCAGTTTATTGCTGAATCAGTCAAATTTCTTTGCAACATTGATTCTCTATAAAGCTAATCCTATTTAAACTAAAGGTCCACATAAAATATTATGTTATTGCATATGTTTATCTTTATATTCGGTTGAGAGCCCTTTTTGGGGAAATTGTATAAATTATTTATTTATAATATGGTAAAATGGGGAAACGCCTGCATTGGATGTTCACGTTTTGGTTTATGTTTGGTACGAAGCGAAACTAGTCGTGCTATAACTTTTGAAGTTTAGCCTTGCGATTCTGTAACTCACTTTTCAAACTCACACAGCGGTTTTCGCAGCGGCGGACGCGCTCGGGGATCGAACCTACGACCTCAGGTATGAGAATCGCACGCTGAAGCCACTAGGTCAACACTGCTCATATGAATAGCTGCAATAGAAAAAAGCCCGAGATATAATTTATCACAAGGTTGACTGTCCTGAGCTACTAAGTAAGGTGTATAATTATATATGTATATATATATTCTCCGTGTGTATAATTTTAATAATAATAATAATTAAGCCTCATTTATTCCTTCATCCATATTTACAAAAGGTACTATTGTTTTTCAAGTATCTCTTAAAGGTCTCCTCCAACTGGCTCCAGAGAAAACATTTGTTAAAAAGCACTTTGCTGTCAAGGAATGAATCCAACATTTATTATTCCACTTACTTTGCAGTTTAAATTGCTTCAATCTAGTTAGGCTCAAGAAAACTAACACAATAAACTACAGAGACATAAAAATAGTGCCTCTGATATGGCATTTCTCTTTATATTTAACTTTAGACGAAAATATTTTTTTTAGTACAATATCATAGTAATTCTATATAGCAATCTCTGGGAATACACAGTATAATTATGTAGGAATCAAGAGTGGTGCTAATATGATGGGTGCACTTTTTTTTGTTTTCTTTTTTTATGGCAATTTAACTTTATGCCAGTTTCAAGTAAACACAAAAATGGCGTCGTTCGATTTTCGAATTTTAGGATTGTATAATTCGTCTTGATGGTGTTTTGCAAGAGTGAGACAATAATTTCAATTTTAGTGTGAAAGACTTTAATATCTAATCAATAGTGTTTAATAAATTATATTATACTCTACTATTTTTGATTCTACGATAAAGAGCTTGGTTAAAAATATGATGAAACAATAAAGTGAAATTGTAATTAATTAAATATTTAATTTGATTTCGTAATAACAATTATCCCAATGAAATCGCTTGTAAAGGCTAATGGATAGGATTATCCCCTGTTTAACAATATCATCGATAATCTGTTGAAACTAACACGAAATGCGGTTACAATATTTAAAAATATGTGGTGCTTGACAAATACAACCCATTTTTTTGGATAGGTGTTTAGTTCTTAAAACAAGTCATAAATTGAACCCCATTTGGATAAAAATCATTTATAAGGAATTCCCCATAATTATGGGATAATTGTAAATATTTGAATATTAATTAAGTTTATTAGAAGTAATTGTTATTTAGTTACAGTAATATACACTTAAGGTAAATTTGGTTTAAGAAAATCCTGTGAATAAAAAAGAAATTATGATATTTTCATGTCTTACTCATAAGCGACCAAAAAGGTTGAATGCCGAATTCGTAGCACAGACTAGTAGGTGCGGAATAATGTGGTCACACAATAGACAAAAATTCCACAAAATGTAGATTTAGCTAACGAACTAGAACTGTATATTTTAACCGTTTTTTTTTACAACTAAAATATACAATTGTAATATTGTGCTTTATTTATGTTGTTTTGTATCTATTTTATAGCTTTTCTGTCGGAGAATTATGCTGTATTCCTCCAGTTGTG